TCCTCGTCTTCTTGGGGGTTCATCTCAGCAGAGGGGTCAGCCATCAGCTTCGGCGCCAGTTACTTCACCATCCACCCAGCCAGCTAGGGGTGGGGGACAGTCATCTAGGGGTCGCCCAAGAGGGGGAGGTCTATCCGGTGGTGGTCAGGCCCGCTTCTATGCTCTTCCTGCTAGGCCTGATGCAATTGCTCCAGATGCGGTGATTACAGGTATTATCTCAGTCTGCCGCAGAGATGCTTCTATGTTATTTGACCCTGGTTCTACTTTCTCTTATGTGTCATCTTACTTTACCCATTATTTGGATACGCCCTGCGAGTCTCTCATTTCTTCTGTTCATGTCTCAACGCCGGTGGGCGATACTATTGTGGTAGATCGTGTGTACCGGTCGTGTGTTGTGTCTATTGGGGGTCTGGAGACCCGAGTGGATCTATTATTGTTATGTATGGTGGACTTCGATGTTTTATTGGGCATTGATTGGTTATCTCCGTGCCAGGGTATTCTGGACTGTCATGCCAAGACAGTGACGTTAGCTATGCCGGGTATGCCACGGATTGAGTGGCGAGGTTCGACCGATTATGTCCCCAGCAGGGTGATTTCCTTCTTGAAGGCCCAGTGTATGTGTGGGAAAGGTTTTCTTTCATACTTAGCATTTGTGAGGGACGTCAGTGCAGAGACTCCCAGTATTGATTCTGTTCCAGTCGTGAGGGATTTCCCCGATGTGTTTCCTGTAGACCTACCGGGCATGCCACCGGACATGGATATTGATTTTGGTATTGACCTGGTGCCGGCACTCAGCCCATTTCTATTCCACCGTATCATATGGCACCAGTGAGTTGAAGGAGTTAAAGGAGCAGCTTCAGGAACTCCTTGACAAGGGTTCATTCGTTCTAGTGTGTCATCTTGGGGTGTGCCGGTTCTTTTTGTGAAAAAGAAGGATGGCATGATGAGAATGTGCATTGATTATAGGCAGTTGAACAAAGTATCAATTAAGAACAAGTATCCTTTGCCTTGTATCGATGATTTGTTTGACCAGCTTCAGGGAGAGAGGGTGTTCTCTAAGATTGATTTCCGTTCATGTTATCACCAATTGAAGATCAAGGACTCAGATATTCTTAAGACAGCTTTCAGGACCCGATATGGTCATTATGAGTTCTTGGTGATGTCTTTAGGGCTGACCAATGCCCCAGCAGTGTTCATGCATTTGATGAACAGCGTGTTCCGGCCGTATCTCGACTCGTTTGTTATAGTCTTCATTGATGATATTCTGGTATACTCGCGTAGTCAGGAGGAGCACGCGGAGCAATTGAGAGTGGTGTTGCAAAGACTGAGAGAGGAGAAGCTCTATGCAAAATTCTCCAAATGTGAGTTTTGGCTCAGTTCAGTGGCTTTCTTAGGGCACGTAGTGTCCAACGAGGGTGTTCAGGTTGATCCAAAGAAGATAGAGGCGGTTCGGAGTTGGCCCAGACCGTACTCAGCTACAGAGGTTCGGAGTTTCCTTGGTTTGGTGGGTTATTACCGCCGGTTTTGTTCAGGGATTTTCATCTATTGCATCGCCCTTGACCAAGTTGACTCAGAAGGGTGCTTCATTTCAGTTGTCTGATGAGTGTTAGGAGAGCTTCTAGAAGCTCAAGACTGCCTTGACCACAACTCCAGTGTTAGTATTGTCATCAGCTTTAGGTTCTTACACCGTGTATTGTAACGCTTCGAGAGTTGGTATTGGGTGCGTTCCAATGTAGGAGGGTAGAGTAATTGCCTATGCTTCTCTTCAGTTGAAGCCCCATGAGAAGAACTACCTTATTCATGATTTGAAGTTGGCTGCCATTGTACACGTGTTGAAGATTTGGAGGAATTATTTATACGGTGTGTCTTGTGAGGTGTCTTGTGAGGTGTTAGCTGATCATCGTAGCCTCTAACACTTGTTCAAGCAGAAGGATCTCAATTTGAGGCAGCGGAGGTGGTTGGAGTTGCTAAAGGATTATGATATCACTATCTTGTATCACCCGGGGAAGGCCAATGTGGTGGCCGATGCTTTGAGCCGAAAGGCGGTGAGTATAGGGTGTTTGGCATATATTCCAGTTGGGGAGAGACCTCTTGCAGTTGATGTTCAGGCCTTGGCCAATCGGTTCGTGCGGTTGAATATTTCGGAGCCCAGACGGGTATTGGCTTGTGTGATCTCTCGGTCTTCCTTATATGATCGCATCAGAGAGCGCCAATATGATGATCCTCATTTGCTTGTCCTTAAGGAAAAATTTCAAGACGATGATGCCAGAGATGTGACTATTGGTGATGATGGGGTGTTAAGGATGCAGGGCCGGATATGTGTGCCCAATGTAGATGGGCTTCGGGAGTTGATTCTGGAGGAGGCCTATAACTCGCGGTATTCCATTCATCTGGGTGCCGCGAAAATGTATCAGGATCTGAGACAGCATTATTGGTGGAGGAGAATGAAGAATGATATTGTGAATTTGTAGCTCGGTGTCTCAATTGTCAAAAGGTGAAATATGAGCATCAGAGATCGGGTGTCTTGCTTCAGCTGATGGATATACCAGAGTGGAAGTGGAAGCGGATCACCATGGACTTTGTAGTGGGGCTCCCACGGTCTTTGAAGAAGTTCGATGCTATTCGGGTGATTGTGGATCGGTTGACCAAGTCCGCGCACTTCATTCCTGTGTGTACTACTTATTCTTCAGAGCGATTGGCAGAGGTCTATATTCGGGAGATTGTTCGTTTGCATGGTGTCCCAGTTTCCATCATTTCAGATAGGGGCACTCAGTTTACTTTGCAGTTTTGGAGGTCTGTACAGCGAGAGTTGGGTACTCAGGTTGAGTTGAGCACAACTTTTCACCCTCAGACGGATGGGCAGTGATAATAGGCTAAATCTAGGTGATTTAGCTATTGTTTATGTTTCCGCTTGATTATATTCCAATTGTCATAATATGGTTAATTGATGAAAAATAGGCTCTAATTGTGAATTGTATACATTGCAGGATGAGGAGCTTATGTGATGCTTTCAAGAGGCTATTGGAATGATTTATGAGCAAGAACAACCCCTCGGAGCTGAGTGCGCGCAAGGACAAGACAAAGAAATGGAAGAAATGATGGCCCAGGTGCGCGAGCAGACGCGCGAACTCATGCGCGAGCTCGCGCGTGTTAGGGGGCTGAGGCAGAATGTTAGAGAAAACGCGCGAAGTTATGCGCGAAGTAGTGCGCGAGCTCGCGCGTTTCCCAGTCCGGAAAAGAATTCTTTAGGGGCAAAATTGGAAATCTGGAGAGAAACCCACTTAACCTATATAAACTCAAGCTCGCCCAAGGTTAATTGAAAAAGTTTTTCATAGGCTAGTGCAAGGTATCAAGAGGCAAGAGGCAAGGAGGAGATTTGACCATCAAGTTCTTGTTTTCTTCTCTTTGTTTTAGCTATTTGTGATGAAATTGAACCCTATTGTGTTAAACATTAGTATGAGTAGCTAAAATTCTGGGGTCATGGGTGAAACATGAAAGTTGTTGTTTGACGTTTAATTCGACGAAGTTGGTTTGTCATATTGGATTGTTTACTTAATTCTGATTTTAATTATTTTGCTGAGTAGCTAACAGTGAAATACTATCTACGAATCTAGAGTTGAACTCGAAAGTGGGAACTTTAGATTGCATATAGAATTAAATAGAGCAGGTTCTTGAACCCAGGCCTCGGGGAACGGATTCGCAATTGGGATAGACATATACCCTATTGCCTTGCTTGGTTGGAATACAGGAATTGTAAGTGCGTTCTTGGTAATCTTAATTCCATAGACATATAGGCATTGAGTTAGCTTGAATAGGCGAGTAAGAACTCGACAGATTCTTATGAGTAATATAAACCCTGTCAACCAACAATCCAGATAAATCAATTAGTCGTTTTAAGCCAAGAACACAACACGATTGTTAACTAGCCTGTGACCCTGGAATATCTTCTCCTACTGTTTGTTACTTGAACTTGCTACTCGTTTGGTTAATTGCTCTAGTTAGATTATTTCTTGATAGTTAGGTAGTAAAACAATTACATCTCGATTTTGTGAAAAACCTCTTGGATAAATAAAGTAATTGAGTTGAATCAGTCAACAGTTAATCATAAGTCTTCGTGGGAACGATACTCTACTCACTACTCTATTACTTGACGATCACGTGCACTTGCGTGAGTGTTTGGTACGCAACAAGTTTTGCGCCGTTGCCGGGGACTTAGAAATTAGCTACTTGACTGAATTGAACTTTTGTTATTTATTTATTCGAGTGTTAACTTTCAGTTCACTTTGTTTGTGCTAATACAGGATTTTCTATTGAATGCGAAGAAGTAGAAGCGCAAACAATCTCCTTCCTCTCGATCCCGAAATTGAACGAACACTTCACAGATTGAGGAGGGAGGTGGACGCCAGAACCAAAATTGAAAGAGAGTTGGACATCATAGTTCAACCACAGCCAATTGAGATGGCAAGTAATGAGGAACGCGCGGTGATTGAAGCCGGAAGACCTAGTCTGGCTAATATGACTCAGGCTATCGTGAAGCCTGATATCACTGGGCACTTTGAGCTGAAACAATACATGGTGCAACTGATCCAGTCCACAAGGCAATTTGTGGGCCTGCCTCATGAAGACCCACAGAGGCATATTCAGAATTTTCTAGAAATTACGGATACTTACAACTATCCGAACGTTTCCAAGGACTATATCAGGCTGACACTTTTCCCCTTTTCTCTGCTCGGGGAAGCTAAGGAGTGGTTGAATAAGGAGCCAGCTAATTCAATCCGCACTTGGGATGATCTGGCAAGGAAATTCTTTTCAAGTTTTTCCCCACCAAGAAAACAAAGATGTTGAGGAGTCAAATTCTTGGGTTCGAACAACGAGCTGGCGAGACACTTCGTCAAGCATGGGAAAGGTACAAGAAGTTGCTCAGAGACTGTCCTCACCATTGCCAGACGGACGAGGTTTTGGGTCACACTTTTGTAGATGGGCTAGATGATGCTTCAAAGATGAATCTCGATTCAGCTTGTGGGGGTAGTTGCATGGCCAAACCGTACAGTGAAATCCAACTCTTGCTGAATACCTTCACTGCTAATGATAATAACTGGCAAGGTGATGGTGACTCACGAAAGGCAGTTAAGAAAAAATTAGCTGGGTTACTTGAGCTCGACGAGGTGTCAGCAATGAGAGCCGAAATTGCAAAGCTGGCCAATCAGATGACTAGGATAACAATGCAGCAGCCACAGCCAATGCAACAGGTACAACAGATGACTATTTGCTGCGAATTGTGTGGTGACAGTCATATGAGTGATGTGTGCCCCACGAATCCATAATCCATCTATTATGTGGGGCAACAAAACAGGGGTCCACCGAACCAACATGCATAATACGGGAATTCTTACAATCCAAATTGGAAGAATCATCCCAACTTCTCATGGGGTGGAAATCAGTAGAGTCAGAATCAGTATAGACCCCAAGGGGGTTTCCATCAGCCTCAGAGACCACCCCAACAAATGGAAGAGAGCACAAATGATTTATTAAAGAAGTTGTTAATTGACAATCAGCAGCTCAGGACCGACTTCAGAAATCTTGAGAGGCAGATGGGGCAGTTAGCAACAAATCAAAACACTAGACCTGCAGGCGCTCTCCCCAGTGATACAGAAAAGAATCCGCAAGTGAATGCAGTTACACTTAGAAACGGGAGGGAGCTTGAGGAAGTGCCAAAGAAAAGGAAAGATAAG